AATTATAAGGCTCGATTATATAAGCTTTTTAATATCGAAGGATAAAGCTTTAATTATAATAATAAAACTATCGACCGCGAGACCGATTATCTTAACGTAGCGATATAAGGATATTATAAGATAATCGTCTTCGATATTATAGACTTATATAAATATAATATAATACTAGGTTACCTATAGTTAATAAGAAGTAATCCGGTAGTCGATTAGCGTATTAGTTAGTTAGCGTGGATAGATACGATAACGCGATAATTACTATTTAGCTAGAAGAGAACGAATATTCGCGACGACTTAGCCTTAGGAGAATCTTTATAATAAGATATAAGCGAGCCGAAGGAGGTAAAAGCTATAGTATTAACCGAGAAGGCCTTATAACCGGGTATACGATATAAATAAGGAAAACGAATTATCGCTAATATTATATAAAAGATATTCGAAGTAAACTAAGCCCTATAAGAAGAAAAAAAGAAGAAACTTACGATAGAAGAAAAACGAATAAAGAACGTACCGCTAGAATACCGTAAATATAATAAGTTATTTAAAGGAACCCTCGAAACGGGTATCCCTTAATATAGTTAATAGGATCACGAAATCTATCTTAAAACCGGAACCTCGACTAAGTTCTATAAACTCTATAACCTTAACTAGAAGTAACTTAAGATATTACGAGAATATATCGACGAAATACTTAAGAAAGGCTATATCCGAACCTCTACCTCGGAAGTAAGATACCCCGTTATATTCGTGCCGAAGAAAAATAAGAAGCTACGATTAGTCGTGGACTATCGGTAGCTTAACGATATTACGATTAAAGATAGAATACCCTTGCCGCTTATTAACGAGCTTAAGGATAGACTTTATAGTAAGAACTAATTTACTGCTCTTAACTTAAAAGGAGCTTATAACCTAATCCGTATAAAGAAAGGAGATAAATAGAAAATAGCTTTCCGTACTAAATTCGGTCTATTCGAGTACTTAATAATACTATTCGGCTTTACTAATACTCTAGCTACCTTTTAACGAATAATTAATAACGTGCTTAGGGAATACTTAGATATCTTCGTTATAGTATATCTAGACGATATCTTAATTTTCTCGGAAAACCTTAAAGAATATAAAGAATACGTCTATTAAGTACTAAAAACGCTCTAAGATACGAACCTCTTAGTTAACCCGGAGAAGTACGCGTTTTATATATAAGAAACCGTCTTCCTCGGATATACAATCCGACTAAATAAAATTCTAATAGAATAAGTAAAAATTAATATAGTTAAAGAATAGCCTAAACTAAAGAATAACCTTAAGGAAGTATAAGTATTCGTAGGATTCGTAAACTACTATCGGCGCTTTATACGCGATTTCGCGAAAATCGTAGCGCTACTTATAGAACTCACGAAAGGTAAGAAGGAGTTCTAGTTCGGAGAAGAATAAAGAAAGGCTTTCGAGATATTACGAGATAATATAATATCTAATACTATACTTATAACTTACGACCCCGAAAAACCACTCGAATTAGAAATAAACGTATCGGACTACGCTATAAGAGCGTAAATTAGTTAACGAGACGATAACGGTAACCTATAATTAATTACTTTTTTTTCGAAGAAACTCTATAGCGTAGAACTAAACAACCTTATTTACGATAAGGAGTTCTTAGCGATTATTACCGTTATTAAGGAATTTAAGTATTATATACTAGGGACGAAGTTTAGGACTAAGGTTTATACCGATTACTAAAATATCTCTTACTTCGCTACGATATAAGAACTTAGCTCGCGATAAGTACGATATACTAAATTCCTAGCCGAATACGATATTAAAATTATTTATCGGAAAGGATTAGAAAACGGCAGAGTAAACGCACTTAGCCGCCGACTAAACTACGATACTAAAATATAAAAGGCAAAAGGTTAGATACTTTAATAAAATAACGAAGGAAACTATATATAAATAGCACTTAACCTCCTTATATTTAGAGTCGAAGTAGATATTATATATTACGATAAAATACTAGATTAGGTATTTAAATATAAAAAAGAAGTACCGGATAACTATATAATAGAAACGGGAAAAGGACTTACTAGGAATAGATTACTCTAAATACTACCGCCGCTACGCGATAAAATCTTAATTAATATTTATACGCACCCTACGGTAGGATATTAAGGAGTTAGGAAGACTCTCGAACGAATATAACGAATATACGACTACTAGGGAATTAAAGTAGATATCGTATATATCGTCGGATAATATAAAGACTATATACGTAATAAGGCTATACGGTATAAACTATACGGGGAACTAAAGCTATTACTAGTACCTTTAAGACTATAGGAATTAATAGCCTTCGATTATATTATAAAGCTACCTAAATTAAAGGAACTAAGATCTAACGTTAAATATAATAGTATATTCGTTATTATAGACTAAATAAGTAAATTCGGGTATTTCTTACTATACTAAGAAATAATAGATATAGAGACACTCGTATATATAGTGCTTAAATATATTATAGCTAACCACGGCCTTCTAGAAGAGATTATTTTAGATCGAGGGATAATATTTACCGCGAAATTCTAGCAAGCCCTAATAGCTTAACTTAGAACGAAATATAAGCTTAGTATAGCTTACTACCCTTAGAAGGATAGATAGATAGAAAGATTAAACTAGATACTAGAATAATACCTACGGTACTATATTAACTACGAATAAGATAATTAGGTCTCGAAGTTACTACTCGCTTAACTCGCTTATAATAGCATACCTATAGAATTAACTTAAATCTTACTATTCTATACGAACTATAGATATAAGCCCGAGTTCGGTAGTAAAATACTAAGGGATAGACCTCTTACTAAAAAAGCAATACTTAAAGTAGACTAACTACGCTTACTATATAAATATATAAAAAGATAGCTCGAATTCGTACGTATACGAATATCGAAATACTATAATAAGAAAAGATCGAAGGGACCGATCTTTCGGAGAGGAGATATAGTCTACTTATTACATAAAAATTTTATAATAACTCGACCTTTATCGAAGCTCGACTATAAGAAACTCGGACTATTTAAGGTCGATAAGGTTATCTTAGATACTAACTATAAGCTTTTACTACCCTCTAGTATAAGGATATACTTAGTTTTTTATATCTTATTACTTAAAAAGGCACTATAAAACGTAAAAATAAGCTACGAACTAGAAGTTTTCGAAGAACTCTATAAACTAGAACGAATAATCAATAAATAAATAATTAATAGAGAAACTAAATACCTCGTTAAATAGAGGGGGTATACTAGTAGCGAAAATATATAGGAACTTATTAAATATCTTAAGAATTACTAAGGCCTGCTCCGCTATTTCTATCGTGCTAACCCGATGCCTAGGTATACTATAAGGCAAATATAGTAAAATCTTCTATAAATAAGGGCTCCGGGGGGCTATTACTAAAGTACTCCTCCTAATTCTCTAGGAAATCCGGAGTTATAAGACTATCTATCGAAGAACGAGCTATAGGATTGCTAGATATAGAGGCCTCCGATTAGCGAGCACTCTCACGCTCGGCCTCCTCACGCTCGACACGCTCTAGCTCCTCTATATTATCGATACCACAAGACACGGCTCGTATTATCTTTTCAAACTATAATTTCTTTTATTTTCGAAGGCGCTCTACCTTAGTATCTATTATACGACGAGCCTCCTCCGCTTTTTCTAACTTAGATTTAAAACGGGTATATTACGCGGTAATTCAGCGTAATTACTATAGCGAAAGCGCTTTAACGTCGTAATAAGAAAGATTAAGACGAACGTACTTAAAATAGCGCGAAGAGTCCTCCTCGGAAGTAATATATTTACGATCGTTCTTTTCGTAAGAAGAATAAGTACTCTTTATCTTCACGGAATTTAGGAATACGACCTCGAGAAGAGCGTTACGTTATTCGGTTTTCTAGGAACGAGAGTTATAAGTTTTCGTAACGCGGTCTAGTATTTTAGTTAGTATACCGTAGGAAGAGAGGAAGAGAAGCTAGGAATATATATTACGGCGACTAATATAGTTTTAATTAATTCTAGGATAGAATCTCGGAAGGAGGGATATTATATTACGACCTAATATACGGCTACTAACGTATGTCACGTGGGCCCTATAATTTCGTCGTACGAACCTATTTATATTCTTTATATAGTAAAGTATAAAGTAGTATGCCGGCCGCTTAAATAAGCGATATTCGTATAAATATCGTTCGTATAAATACCGGTCGCACGAATCCCTATTCGTACGACTAAGGCCCTATTATTTTATACTAATTACCTTAGATTATCTATAAAATACTATAATCCGGATTATCGTACTTATCTTATAAGCCTTATAATCCACGGGTATTATTTGCTTTATATAATAATCCCCTTAGTATATAAGAAGCCTAGCTTTACTATAGTTAGTCTCTACTAGCTCCTTAGCTATTAATATAATTATCTACGTAAGATCTACTATCTCGTATATAGACTATAACCCGACCGCTTAAGTTAACGATATCCTAGTATACTTAGTTTATAAACCGACTTTAGATCTACCTACCCTATAGCTAGTCTGACCCGAACGTTATAAGGCCCCTAAAGGGATCCCTGTAAGTATTCTAGGGACCCTTATAAAGGTCCTATAAGAGGGCCTCGCAAGGCACCTAATAAGGGCATTAGGTCCCTATTTTCAATAGTATCTTATGCGCTTGAATATAGTAGACTATATACGCGGTGTAGAGCTACTAGGCCTCGTCCCTGCTCGATCATAGCTAAGGAATATAGTCCGTCGGCCGCTCGTTAATGCCTTCGACCTAATAGTCACGAATATATAGCCCCTGGCGGCTGCCTAAATATTAGCGGCCTAGATAAGGGCTTCACGAGAGGGATATTCGTTCTCAGGTGTAACGTTCGGGTCAGACTAGCTATAGGGTAGGTAGATCTAAAGTCGGTTTATAAACTAAGTATACTAGGATATCGTTAACTTAAGCGGTCGGGTTATAGTCTATGTGCGAGATAGTAGATCTTACGTAGATAATTATATTAATAGCTAAGGAGCTAGGTAGAGACTAACTATAATAAAGCGTAGCTTCCTATATACTAGTTATAAATATAAGGGCTCACGGGAGCGTCGTGATCTAGTAAGCTATGCGTTAATATTAGAGCGTGGGCTTACGGTAAGGTCGTGAGCCATACTCTATGCGTGGTGGTATGATTAGAGGAAAAAGTAAGGTACACGTGAGAGGCGCATGCGGTCGCATGCTGGGTCGTAACATTAGGGGGTAAGGTATTGTCGATAGACTCTCTAGTAGTCGGAGGGTCGCTTATAATTACGAAGGAGCCTTTGGATAATAATTAGTGGCTTAATTATACGTTAGAAAATAAGGCTCGCTTGGATGCTCCTAAGGAAAGTGTCCTTAAGTGCAGTAGTGTCGTTAGGTGAAGTATCTAATTAGTGCGTAAGTAGCTTTTGTGGGCTCTAGCTGACTAAGTAATCTTATTTGCGCACCTAGGTGCGCACCTATTGACCCCCGGCACCCATACATGGCTCAGTCAGCACGGGCCACCTTTCGAGAGCCACCTGCACGATTTCCTTCAAGTCAACCGGGACCGAATGGGTGTGCACTCGCCGTGCCCGATTGCAGAGAAGCAGGACGTCTTCCTTGAAAGCAGTAAGCACGTGAAAAACAATCAATCTCGATTTTGCAGAGTGTACTCACCGGCCTGCATGCTCCCTTCACTGCGTCGCCAGTTCGCGTCAGGTTTGTTACTTGCCAGTGCCCCGTTGTCCCGTTCGCCATTGGACTTGCTGGTATCGTCAAACGGCTTGTGGCCAGCTGACCCCAGAGAACGGCGGTTCTTTTCGGCCTGGTGTTTTCTCCACCAGATGGGCGGCACACCATTGTAGAGACCCAGGCTCTGAAGCGTGTCCTTGTCTTGGGGCATCTCGTGCTTGAACCGACAGCCTTGCTGCTCAAAGGCGCAGATGCCCTCGTGGATCCACTTGTCACAGTATATCTTTGTCTTCTTTGTGTTGACGGAACCTGCGGCTCGATGCTGTTGATATTTGTTAGCACACTCACCATACCCCTGGGAGGAGCAATGCAGCCGAGACTCGAGACATACAGACGAGGGAGGCGAAGCCTGATCTCTTGTTAGCACAGCACCTCCCTTCGTTTGTCATGGACGAAACGTACCTGCACCATGATACGCTCATTCAAACCCAAGGCGCGAACGCTGGACACAATCTCCATGCCCAGCCGCAGATCCTCAACGGCATTGACTCCCTGTAGAGGTGGCAAGCGGTCTGCCGCAACGAGCCTTGTTACTTTACCACCTCCTCGGTCAAGGTAGACGTGATGGCCGTCCGTCCTGATGATGAGTTCGGGCAAGCGCGTAGCAGAAGTCAAGGTCTGCATCCGCAGAGGATGTGTGTCTTGCTGCTGAGGGGCCAACGTCAGATTCTGGAACGCAGACAAGTTGTCGAGATCGGCTGGCGTAGGCGGGTTGGTGGTATAGTTGTGCCATTGCACGTTTGGGACGGTAGACCAGATGGTTTCTCCCGCGCGATGGGGCATGCTGACCATGCCGGTGACATGGTTCGTTCGAGGGACTGATTGCTGTCCAGCAGCGAGCATCTGAGACGTTACTGGGTATCCTCTGTTGGTGAGGCCCAAAGTGCTCGAGTTGTTGCGGTGCTGGGCATACGTGTTGGGAGGCTGGCGACGGGCAAAGGACGCTCCTGAGGTTGAGGCTGCCGTACTGTCCCGGCTCATGGGGTACACGCGCTGCGGAGTGAGAGGAGGAGATGGATTGGCATCTCTGGCCGGGCGAGGCGTCATGTTGGCGGAGTCGGCCGGGGAAAAGAGATGTGTCATGATTCGCAGACAAAGAATAGTGGTGTTCGACGCTGTATACTACATGCAGACAGCACCAGACTGCGATATAGGTGCTCAGTCGAATAAGCCGATGTCAAGAATGAGAACAACGAGGAATGGATCACAGCTTCTTTTGGATTTCTAGTAGATGGGACCAGGTTATCACTTGGTCAGGTCAAACGGCGTTTGCTTTGCTACTTTTGTTGACCGTCGGCAAGATGCATGAAGCCAACGGTTAGATCTGATGGATCCCGGTCACTCATTTCGCTGCACGTCAACGAAGCATATGCAGGCAAGCAATGTCGTATTGCGTCCGAGCCAAGCTACGCATCCCTGCTTGATCGGTACTGCCGTGTGCCCTCTGCCGTCAAGCCCTGGCGGTGAATATAGGCTGATGGTTGTGCCTGAAGCCAGTGTGTCACCGTCGAAGCCATGTTCAAGAGTCTCTTCCCCCGTGTTCAGTTGATGATGCTATGGGTATGTTCCTAAATCCAACGGACCGCTAGCTCCATGTGCCCCTCTTTCTCCTGTTGCTTAGTGCTGTTAGTAATATCGCGAATTGTTGCTCTTTCTTCTCGCGGGGCCATGCAGCGCGCTGTATTGAATCCATGGCTAACCGTATCTGTGCTTCTGTTGTGTTCGCATCTATTGTCATCGTCCGTGTCCGATGGTTACTCCCGTTTGCAGGGACAGCATTTGCTCGCCCCATACTTGCCAGTTGCTGCGTTGGTATTGCACTCGCTGGTGGAAACATGGGCGCCTGCACTGGCGCTGCCTGTTGCTGCTGCTGTGGAGGCTGTGGCGGATGGCCGTGCTGCATGCTGCCATTTACTGGACTGTTTCCGATGTATCCACGGAAGCGGGGGTCAGGGGCTCCTCTACCATTTCCATGGGCGATGGCGTGGGAGGGCAAGCTGGCGTTGGCTTGCGTTTGGTTGGAGTCTCTGTGGCCGCGGCTGACGTTGCTCGGGACGGGGTTTTGGCCGGGGTAGGGAGCTGCTTTGGTGGGATTGCTTGCCTGCCCTTTGTAGGTGCGCGTTTTCGAGGAGTCTGTGCTTTGGGTGCCGTTGACGAGGCGGCTTTTGCTGCGGCCGCCTGTGGCTGCGGTCCGGAGATCTTGCGCTTCGGACACGACATTTGCTTGGTCTTGGGAGTCTGTTTGTTCTGCTTGTTAATGGATGCTGCTTGTTTCTTGGGCGTTGACTTGTTGGAAGGGGTGGATGCTGATGCTGGTTTTGTCTTGGAGGTTTGCTTTGGCTTCCTACCTTTGGTAGCCTCAGCTTCATCTTCGGATTCCTCACCTTCGTCAGAGCCGGAATAGGCGTCGGACGAATCCGCTGAATCAGCTTCGGCTTGGCCCAACAGGGCCGCCGCTTCGGCAGCTGCATTTGCGTTGTTGTCGACCACCTTGTAGCAAGTTAGCTCACGTAACACTGCCTGGGAAGTCCCGACATCACTCACCGCTCTCCTTCGACCACCACGTCCCAGTACCTCCTTCTTGGCCTCTGCTTCTTTCCGTGCTTCCTCTTCACGTTGGGCCAGGATCTGGTCCCAAACACTAGACTTGAGTGGCTCGGGCGCCGCTTCCTCACTCGTGCCGAGATTGTTGTCGAATCCGGACTTCTCGTTTGCCCATACCTTGGCGTACGAGAATTGTGTTTCAGCGGAGCCTTCTTCAGTCGTTTCGGTCTGCTCTACCACGGAACGATCTAGTAGTTTGTCAACAGACGCCGAGTCATAAACGATGGCGTCCTTTTGGTAGTTCTCGTCAAACAATGCTTTGGCGCCATGCTGTAGGATAGACTCCAGGTCATCCCCTGCAAGGTCGTCATCGTCCATGCTCTCAATCAGTGCGTGATCGAGGGCCATCTTCTTGCGGCCAATCTGCATGATGCGCTCCTCGACCGAATCCTTCGTCACAAGTTGAAAGCAGAGGACCTTCTTCTTCTGGCCGATACGATGGGCACGCGACAGAGCCTGGATGTCCTGGTGAGGGTTGAAGTCAGGGTCCATGATGATGACAGTGTCCGCAGTGGCGAGGTTGATGCCCACACCACCAGCGCGCGTAGAAAGCAGGAAAGCAAACAGCTCAGAGTCTGGTGCGTTGAAGGCGTCGATACGTCGCTGCTTCTCGAGACTGGAGATCTGTCCATCCAAGCGTCGGTACCCGAATCCTAAGCCCACCAGGAAATCTTCAACAATGTCTAGCTGCTGTAGAAACTGACTGAAAATGAGCACTCGGTGACCGCGTTCCTTGAGTTTGGGCAGCATGATCTGTAGAAGAATGAGCTTCGCAGAGGCTTCGACTAGGTTGCGGTGCAACACGACTTGATCGTGGTGTCGCTCCTCAATAGCGTCTGAGTAGATAAAGGGATGACACAAGCATTTGCGCAGCTGCATCAAAATGTTGTTCAGACTTCCGCGCTCCTTCTTACTCATTTTGCTGTTAGCAAACATGGACTGGATGAGCTGGGGATTTTTGGCCATGATGCTCTTAGAAAGCTTCTCCTGAATGACCGTCATGGACACGGGAATGATGATCTGCGCCATGGGTGGAAGGAATTTGAGGACGCTAGCTTTCGTACGGCGCAGGAAATATGGTCGGATCTTCTCGTGCAGCTTTGGTAGCGTCTCCTTGTCGAGGACTGCGAACTTTTCATCAAGCTTGGCTGCGTTCTGGGTGTCGTCGATGAACTGCAAAAGGTTGAAAAGCTCGCGCTTGTTATTCTGCAAAGGAGTGCCCGTAAGCAGGAGGCGGAAGGGAATCCTCATGGACTTGAGAGCACCGTAAAGAAGGTTTGAATCATTCTTCAGTCGTTGGCCCTCGTCAACCACGAGGCCCTGCCAGTGTACGTTCTTGAAGAGGTTCTTGGTGTTTGGGTCGGCGGCTGAATCATAAGACATGATCACCACATGCGCCATCATGTCGCTGGATTGCTCGGGGAAGAGCTCGTACTTGTATGCCAATTCTTGCGGCGCGCGACCGCCATGATAGGTTACCACACGCAAGTCCGGTACCCAACGCTTGAACTCGCGGCGCCAGTTGGGGCATGTGGCATTCGGCACGACGATGAGAAAGGGCCAGATCTGCGTTTTGGTTAGGTAACAAATTTTTGAAGAAGACACGGATTGCATACCTGAGGATGGTCTTGGATCAACGAAGTCACCAAGGCCACGACCTGAACTGTTTTCCCCAACCCCATCTCGTCAGCCAGCACCACACTCCTGCCACAATGGAAATTGTCAAGCATCCAGTTCAGACCCTCGATTTGGTACCCCATGAGAGTGCCCTGTTGTAAACCTTTGGGTTGCTGAGTGACTTCTTTGTACGGCGCGGCCTTGTACTGCTTGACTCGCTCTTGGACCTTACGGTGGGAGACAGGTTCAAAGTACTTGCCTTCCAAGTAGTCGTAGAAGGCTTCCAGGAAGGCGTTGTGTATGTCCTTGCCGCTGTCCTCGGTTGGAGGTCGATCCCAAACGACATCACCGTACCCAAGTCCCTGGAATTTGACAAAGATCTTCTGGATGTAGCCAACGTTTGCGAGTTCCTCAGCGCGAGACTCGGATCGGGGTGCAGACTTGTCCCACTTGACGTGCAAAATCACATCAGGCATCAGGTACTCGTCGGGAATGGCCTGCTTCTCATCTCGGATCAAGAGACTTTTCTCGGCATCCTTCTTTGCAAAGGAATTGCGGGATACCGTGGCAGCCGTGCCGAACACCCACGCACCCGCCTTCCACTTGCAGTGTGCGTAAGATTGCCCTTCGTACTTGACAAGATACTCCTTGTCATCCTCACTCACTTCCGAGTAGGATAAGTTGTATGCGGTCTCCCCTCGAGTCTTGACGAACAGATCAGTTGGTCGCCAAGCAACGAGCCTATGAATGTTGCGTCGCGCTGTTCTACAGTCGTTACACTGCCAATCAATGGAGTAGTCCTTGAGACGCTCAGATCGTACATCGTCGGTGGGTGAGTGCTCCCCGATGGGTGGTAGATGCTCAAAGTGCCAGCCACGATGACACTTGACGCAGCGAAACAGGGTGACATCGCCGTTGTTAACGAGAGCCAGGTTCACAGGCGTGATGGGATCTATGCCGCCATTTTCCTCGCGCAGTTTCTCCTCCTGGCGGGATGTTTTCTTCTCCGAGAATGCTTTGCAGGCCTTGCCGGGCAGTTTGCATTCCTGGCACCGATCGTATTTTGGTGCGTTGACGTCTTTCTTCTCGTACAGTCCAATGCAGAACTTGCATTGTAGAACGAATTCACTGTCGCCGATCTTGGTGACCATGTGTTCACGACCACTCCGATAGCCGATGCAGCTCTTGTGGTACGTCAGGCTACAGCCCTGGCAGTATATCAGCTGGCTGCTTTGACTCGAGCGACAAGTGTGACAAGTAGCGTGGTGATGTGCAGCAAACGACGATTGGGGGTCGATTTGCCGATAGACTTCCCGAATGGAAATAGCCTTGGGGGGGCCGATAGGCTTCTCCTGGACCAAGTAGAGAGACTCTTCATCGAAAGCATCGTCATCACCCATGCTGTACTTGTGCCTGGTGCTTCTATTCGATCGACGAGGCGCATCAAACTCAATGTCTGACGCTGGTGACTTGTTCCTTGAGCGCCCAGGCAGCTTGCCGCGCATGGTAAGCCGTCGATATCTGCCCTTCTGCCCAGGCTTGAAGACCGAGACATCAGAGGTGATGAAGGGAATATGGTCCGGATCATCGCCTGACTGTTGCAATTCGTCCATGTCCTCGGTAGGGGGTGCCGGTGCTATCGGGGGACGCCTCCTCTCACGAGTACTTCGGCGCGGAGCTTGCATGACAATGTCTTCGTCTTCATCGTCGTCCAGCTCTGCTTGTGAATGGTTATCAAAGTTATAGTGAGTAGTGACGCGAGAGCTGCGCATGGGCCTGGAAGCACGCCGATGCTCTTCCTCGTCATCGAGGTCGTCAACAAAGCTTTCAGGGGAGGAAAAGCGCTCTCCTGGTAAGAAATCATCGCCACCAGGGCGCTTGCGTTTACCGAGAACTTCATTCGAAGGAGTGTAGAAGCGATGGAGAGCCATTGGGCCGTTCTTGTGAGCGAGTAGTTGATTGTGCGTAAGCTTTTTGCGTCAGCGATGTCGTAGTTGAAGGGGTTGAGTGATGATGTGTTAATGATTGAATGAAAGATATGAGGTGGGTAATGAGGAAGAGAGAAGCCAGATTGCCCGGGGCTGTGCTCCTGGGTCAATTCGAATGGAACGTGCGAGATGAACTGATCTTGAGGAGGGAAAACGGAGGGGACCCGAATCAACGAATTCCTGTTCGCGGGCTTGACAAAACCATCCTGTCGAGAAGGGAACAGCCCGTGGACACGGGACTTTGGGAGCAAGGGAACAGCTGGTGCGCAATTGGTAAATACCAGGTTGAAAGGCCACTTACCAGCTCCTCTCTGCCATCTGTGAACTCTACGGAAAAGCCCGCGAGGCCAGCAGAGTTGTAGTCCTCTCCTTTCACAAAGTCGACAATGTCACTGACCACCTCAACATACTCGTGTCTTTCCGACGGCGATATCGGCTGTAAGAGAACTTCGACATTTTGTGACAGAGGTTGGTCTTGGGTCTTGCGCGGCGCTGGCTCGGTAGCTTGGGGCTCGTTCGTGCGGATAGGTTGTGTTGGCTCGTGCAGCGACGCGGCTGCGTTGTCGTTGGTATCCAAAGTCTCAATATCAAGCTCAGCTTGTTCTGGCGAGGCCACCACCACATCCGTCGCATCTTGTTCAGCCACGTGGTCCTCTTCCTGAACGTTGGACTCGGGACCGTCTAGGCCCAGTGATGCCTGCAACGCCCGTAATGCCAGTTCTTCGGGGCACAACTCCTCTTGAATGTTCGGAGCTATTTGATTGTCGTTGCTGGCGATGCGATCTTCATCGTCACTGGTGTGGTCCCCATCGTCACCACGGCTGTCGAAGTCGAAGGACATGTCCATTGATCGGTCGTTGCAGCTCCCATCTTCCACAGGCAAATGCGTCGCACTGACTCCCGCCACGATGGGAGGATCGTCGGAGTCCATCTGGCCCAATCGTCAACACCAGATCTGCAATAGCAGTAGGATGCGCCTCGCGATGACTTCAAAACTTACCTTTGCGACTGGTGGGGTTCACAGTACGAAAAGGCGATGGTTATGAACTCGCAGGTAGCGCTGACGTGGGCATATTGCTTTTCAAAAGGGGGAATAAGGTTGATCAGGGTGTGAAACAGCAGCCAAGGTAAAAGTCAAGTGTACTTCACTTCATGGTGAAGTGATAATAGCAAAGTCGCATTCGACAGTGGGCATTTCGTCTTGGGGAACGCGGTTTCGACTGCTGAAGCGCGTCCGATGTCGTCCACCAAAGGCCTGGCGCTGGCCCTGCTGCATGGTCCCCTGCCGCAGGTCCCTTGGCGCGGGATACCTCTCAAAGCTCTCACCGCCCGCTACATTCGGTCTAGTGGCGTGGCTGAAAAAGACATGCCGCGATGTTGGTCGCAGTACGCCATTTCCTTTCTGGACTCGAGGATGATCTCGCGATAATTAATCTTTCGTCACCTCGCAACCCTATTTACGGGGAAACTGACCATGCAATGATAAGAGCACTCAAGCTACAGACTCCGGGTCTCAATCGACCGATTCTCCAGTCACATTCTCCTTCGTTGTCTAAGATCTTCACCCGAGACGCCAGCTTATCGGCTATTCATCGCGGCCTTCGCCAGTCCGAACGAGCAGAGTATGGCGAAGCTCGAGAGCGTGCTCCGGCCCGTCGCCCGCGAAATCCAAGCGACCGCGTCGTGAACTCATTCGGACGCCCACGTACATCCGGGCAAGATGCGCGCGCGCGATCCGAGATCCAGTCTCTTACACAGAAGGCCTTGGATGGGGCGGGTTCCAAGAGACAGCAGGCAAAGCTGCTGTCCAAGTTGAAGAAAAAGCAGGATGAGGTCGATGGCACAGGCAAAAAGACGCGTAGGAAAAGGTTCCACGATGAGACGACGGATTTTGGCAAGAACAGCTTGGTATATCAGTTGAAGCATGGGCATTTGCAAGGACTCAAGGATACCATCGATCCGCCAGTCAAGCCTCGGGGCACGCGAATGACCAACGACGATTTCAAACAGCGAATGGACAACACCTCTGACGAAGTCTCTGCTACTGGTGGTCGCAGGCGACCTATGACATGGAGGCGAGAAGACAGGCCCGACCAGCGTGCACGAGAATCGTTCGGTTCCGGGAGAGGCCGCTTCTACGCTGACGGCGACCGCCCAGGGCGATCCTTTCAACGACGTGATGGCCGACCCGCCCGCAATGTCGACACATCCGACGACAGGGACACCCGTCCCACCCGCCACGAGCCTGAAGATGGCGTATTTCGACCTGCGCCGCGCGAACGGAGACACAACATGATGCCACTCCAAGTGAAATACACGACCGCCGCCTCCCAGTTCCTCTACGGAACGTCTGTCGTCAAATCAGCCCTCGACCAAGGTCAGCGAAAACTGTACAACCTCTACATCTATGGCGGTGAGAATCGTCGCCAGACGTGGGAGACTGTCAGGATCAAGAACCTTGCCAGGCAGAAGAACGTGCCCATCACAATAGTTCCCGCCGAGGATCAGCGATTGATGGACAAAATGAGCCAGGGCAGACCACACAACGGCTTCGTACTGGAGACCAGCCCACTGCCCACGAGGAAGGTGGCATCCCTCGGTGCTCTCGAGGAGAGACCCGATAAGCTAGGCTTCCATGTCGAGCTCGGGTATCAGAGTAAAGAGGAGGACAAGGTGAATGGTTCGGACACATTTGTCCCAAGGAGGAGTGCGGTCACGGCTCGGCCTCTTGTGCTCTTCCTCAACGAGGTCGTCGACCCAGGCAACCTAGGCGCCATCATCCGCACAGCGAGCTACCTCGGTGTGGACGCCGTCGGCATCTCGTCCTCTGGATCCTCGGATCTCACTCCCGTTGTGCAAAAGTCAGGCGCCGGGGCCATTGAAGAGATGACAATCTTCAAAGTCGACAATGCCGAGTCATTCCTCCGCGACTCGAGCAACGCGGGTTGGAAGACGTATGCTGCAGTACCACCCATCGACAACAGACTCGCTCGCCAGAATCGCGAGAGGATCATCACGACGGACGACGTCGAGCGCAGCAGCCCCGTCTCACAACACCCGTGCGTGATCGTGCTTGGCAACGAAGGCATCGGACTGCCGAAGCCAGTCAAGGCTGCATGCACGCACTGGGTGTCTATTCCCAAGTTCATGCAGGAAACGTGCGTGGACAGTTTGAACGTCAGTGTCGCAGCGGGTCTTCTTGTACACTCCTTTGTGAAGAAGCCCTTATCCTCGGACGTTGCTCGGGAGGAGGCTGCAGAGCATGAGTGTGAAGATGAAGCTGGCGACGAGGTTGCTGAGCCTCAGGGGGAGAAGATGTTCTAAGCGCGAGGCACACCTGGCTTATACAACACACTGTAGGGCGCGATACTTGTACATTATGACACCATGGGCGGCGTCTCTCACATACGGCAGTCTGACAGCATCGACGCGGAGTTGGTCATGGGCATTTGCATTTCATGTACCTAGAACTTGTACACACCATTGTAATTGAAGATTTTGCTATCACAGAGAAGTATTCATATCTGCAGATCCAGACCGATGTTCTCGATTAGGTGATGCCTGCCCTCGAGCCTATCTTCATGTTGTCTCCCAGAGCAAGTCGGTCTGGGGGGTTTGTAGATCTTCAGCCAGACTGGGAATCTCACTACAGCGCGTCATCGATCAATCATCCACTGGTGAGGTACGCATCAGATATATTAAAAATACTTCACTGCGTATCCTGAGATCCTAAGTATACGGTATGTCCGAGCTGTGCGGAGACGACCTATTAAGAGGCGCAGACGGCCACGCTGCCATTACATTCCAGTCCGGAATGTGCCCAGTCTGTCTTGCGTCTTTACATAGAACGAGACAGGAGTCTCCTCGAAAATCATAACTTCAGTTTAAACAGACGAAATACCTTTCGACTCTGAGAGACGACAATTAAAATGACTGAAACAAGCGCCTTGACGGCGCCTCACTTCTGTCGTCGGCCCAGCCACCCGATTTTCCGTGTGTATTCATGCACATCGACCACACGACGCAAAGCATCCAACACATGTAACGCTCATCTCATACGAATATTCGTAGAGTCTTGAGTCTTTCATACCGCCACATTCAAGATGCGCTCTCTACTGCTCTTACCGCCCTCCATCCTGCTGGCACTCGCAGACCCCTCGCCCACCGCCCTGCGCAAGCTGCATCCTGATTCCTCAGAGAAGCTGTTCGCCGAACACCTCGCCTTCTCTCCCGCCTTCAACCTCCCACTTGTTGTTAACAATGCTGCAGAGAACGTCACGGCACGTTTCTACGCGCGCGCGTTCTCGGCGCATTTCTCGGGCGGCTTTGGCACCGGATTGCTGGAGAAGAGGTCATCCTGCCCCACGAACATGAAATCCTGCACCAACACGGGGAATCCCGCCAAGTGCTGTCCAGCAGGGACGAACTGCGTCAGTGTCGACGACGCTTCCGTAGGGAGGGTCGCATGTTGCCCCGAGGGCTCGGAATGCGGCGGCGGAGTGGGCGCATGCCCAGCCGACAGCGTCACCTGCTCGGTTGAGCTGGGCGGAGGGTGCTGCATCGCAGGGTATATCTGCAAAGGGGTCGGCTGTGTGAAGGCAGGGGACGGCAATGGTGGATCAGAGACGACCACGGTGGAAGAGACGACGACGATGGTGGAGGAGACGAGCACGACGACTGAAGAAGAAGCGGAAACTACCACGGCGCGTGAGACGTCGACCACGGAGAGAACAACAACTAAAGAGGAAGAGAGCACTACGGAAGAGCGAAGTACGACTTCGGAGGAGGACACTGCCACAACCACACAAGAGCCTACCGATACAGAGACAGGCGGTGCGCCGTTTCGACCTACGCTGACTTCGGAACCTGAAGACACCCAGACAGGCTGTAAGTAGTACACTGCGATCTTTTCTACGGTCAGAGATACTAACAACAGAAACCAGGCCCTACCGGCTTCTATGGCTGTCTTGCCACTCATGGCGGTGGTTGCTGTCGCACAGACCGCAACTGTGATGTCCAATCCTGCCCACCAAGCTCCTCGACCATGCTCATCTCCGACGGCGTGACTGTCGTCGTGGATGCGACCGACGTGCCGGACGAAGGTGAAGGGACATGCGCAGACGGCTGGTCTCTCTGCGGTGACGAAGGGGGTCCCACGCCAGGGTGCTGTCCCAGCGGATACAGCTGCGGGACTGCGAGTTGTTTCTCGAAGCAGAGTGGCGGAGAAACGGGAACAGTGCAAAAGGAGTTCCCTGACGATGAAGATGACGCTGCGGCCATTACAAGGCTGAGCAGCGTGTCGATCATGGTGGTTTTGGCTGGCTGGTTCCTGATGTGAGATCAAATGTGGACAATGCGTTATGATGAACGAGATAGAATGTACTTGATGACATTGTAAATTATTTATACCCCATATAGTCTATACCCCATACAAAAAAATGCCCAAACGCCGGCTATGTGTGATGACATTTCTAAAACAGAAGCACACTGTGCAAGGCCATCAGTGCCAGCCAACCAGACAGGCCGATGACCAGTGGCGAGGACGCAGAGCCCTTCTCGATACCGCAACAGTTCCAGTCGTAGGTCACGTTGTTCATCTGCGCGGCGACCTCGAACACGCTGCCAGGGGGGTCACCGTAGTTGTAGTAGTCCACGTTGAGAATGTTGGGTGCGCGGCCCCAGTCCTCCCTGCATTGATTCGCCGTGACGCCCAAGCTACCGTACCCTGTGACGTTGTTTGTCACATTGAGCAGGCTGACCGCCGGGACGAGGAGGGAGGCGCCAAACACGTTGAATTCGACGTTGAGGTTGTGGTTCATCAGATACAGCCTGTCCTTGGCGTCCTTCTCACTCAGGTTGGGTGGCCGCTGGACCGTGCAGGGAAAGTCGCGGTCCTGTGGGTCAAAGGGCGTCTCCCACATCTGGGCAAACTCGTCCAGGAGCCACGGGTACTCCTGCTGGTTTGCGTTGTAGTCCATGAACATAATCACCCTCTTCCCCCGGAGGATGAGGTTTTCCAGGGTTGGCCAGTCGTCGAGCTTCATGGGGAGGTAAGGCGCCTCGTAGGTGTACTTCAGAATGCCCGTCTTCTGGATATATGGTGCATACACGGAGGGAGCAGAGTAGTTCCCGTTGCCAAGAAGGATAGTGACCACGTCGTAGGGATGGGCTTCCACCCAATCCGCGACATCGCCCAGCCAATCTGTGATAGGACCGGCGTCGAGCAGATCACAGGTCGAGTGGCAGAAGTGGGGGACGTTGCTACCCTCAGGGAACTGAATTTGGGCCTGGATGAAGCGGACGCCGTCGTCCAGCTGTTGTTTGACATGCAGCTCCTGGTTGGAGCCCGAGTTGCCAGGGCGGACGAACGGGGAGTTGTGGCAGCCAACATTTGTGATGTTGGAGTACTTGCGCGTACATAGCTCGACGTAGTTGTTACAGGGCTGTGTATTTGTTGGCTTGACAGTCGTTGTGGTCGTGACGTTGTTGGTGACAGTGACGGTGGGCGTGTAGGATGCGGTATAGCTGCCGCTGGTAGGCGTGTCCGTCTCTGGATTGCCGAGCGTGATCCGGCCAGTGTAGGTCTGGTACGGTCCTGTTGGTATAGCCGTTGCGTCGTCTACTCGCTGCGTCTTTGTGCCGGTATAAAAGTCCAGCTTCGAAGTGGCGGTAAATGAGGCGATGGGCGCTGTAGGACCATCTTCGGCATCCCCCGTCTCGGTGCCTGACCTGGCGTTGGACTTGGATGCAGTGTCCAAGGTTGACTCGTCCGATTCTGTGCTCTGTGCATGCGTGTGGCTGAGCAACGCAGCACATGCTGTGAGAAGCAGTAGGACGCGCATGGCGACGGTTGGACGATTGAGCGACTGACCCCAGCCGTGACCGAGGCAAAGAGGCGCGCAGTATTCTCAAGCCGGAGAATTCGAGAGCGTGGCCAAACCAGGTCGGGAGGTCCTGTTGTGTGGTGCAAAGTCAATTGTCGATTGAATGGTGGTCTAGGTCGTGAAGCAACGATTGGAAGATTATTGACGACGACGTCACGGGTAGTGGAGGACGCTGTAGGGGCTTACTGCAGCCTGCAGAGCCTGCCCGGCCTGTTCGGTCTGCGGCGCTAGCAGAAGCTTAGCCTGTGGCTAGCGGTGAATAATCACTGGAGCTAGTCGCTGCAGCCTGAAGGGGACTGGAATCACTGGATAAAGCGGCGTATTCGATGTCGGAGAAGAAAGCCAGGCATGAGTCGATGACACACGCCACGCGCCAGTTGCAAATTTCAATCATGGAACGCATTATCTCCGAAAAGCAGAAGCACGGCCTCGCAATTTTCGAAAGTCACCAGTCGAGACGTTGGTCGAGACGTTGATCGAGCGACTGTACCGCTGGCGGGTCCACGGATCTTCAGCGATTGTTGAACAAAACCCTGAGAGGCTGATCAGAGACTGGAGCAAGGTCCAGTTGTCGTATCAATCCGAATTACGCGTCACCTGCCTGATCCTGGGCACCAGGCGGCACGAGCTGAGACAGCCCAAGGCCGCGTGCGTCATGCACGATCGGCAGCACGCGAGACCGGACAAGGGGTCACTGTGCCTGAATGTAGACCGGACTGTCGTAGCGCCTCGCCTCGCATGAACGCTGCTGCCCTGGAGGCGTTTTGAGATGGTCGTGAATTGTAAATATTGATTGCTCTTTTAACGGGAATTAGCGATTGCGATCGTCCCTTGAGCCCGGCAGTGTGTGCAGATCGGCGTCCAGAATGCTTCCACAATTTATCTTCAAGGTGCCCACTCCGTCATGCCAGGCCTCTGCAGTCAGTGCATAAGCCCCTAATAATAGTAGTCCACTCTCCAGTCCCGCAAACCCCGGCGTTGGGTGCTGCGCATTTCGTCACTTGGCTGCCCAGACGTGTTTTCCAGTCCAGTCCTCATCGCCAGCATCCTCACCTCAGCTCACTTTACCTGGCGCGAAGATTCAACAACCTCGTGCAAGAGACTGGAGCTCAGCGGCTGGGACCATGGCGCCGCACCGCCGCAACACGACTATAGCCACAAGTGTCTTCTACCTACTCTCGCTGCCGTTCCTTATCCTCGTCTGCATCGGCAACACGCACATCAACAGCACTCTCAACTCCATCTACTTCTTGAAACTCGATGTATCGCACATCATCCCCATCAGTGTCGCCAACTCCAATCTCCTCAACTCTGTGGCCCGGAGCTTGGGTCTCCATGACTTCTACACCGTCGGACTATGGAACTACTGCGCAGGATATCTCGGCGAGGGCGTGACCGAGTGCTCCAAACCAGAGAGCTTCTTCTGGTTCAATCCTGTCAAGGTGCTCGTCTCTGAGCTGCTCGCCGGCGCGACAATCGCCCTCCCCTCGCAGGTCACGACGATTCTCAACCTGCTGCGGATCGGATCGCAGGTCATGTTTGGCTTCTTCCTCACAGGCACGGTGCTCAACTTTGTCCTCATGCTTCTGTCACCGCTCGCCATCTACACACGATGGTTCAGTCTCGCGCTCTCCATCCTGAGCCTCATCTCTGCTATTCTGGTCGGCGTCGCCGCCGTCATTGCGACAGTGATCAGCGTGGCCGCCAAGATCGCCCTCACCGCGCAGGACGAGCTCAATCTCAGCGCAGACATTGGCATCAAGATGTTTGTCTTCATGTGGCTCGCCGCTGTGTTCACTTTCCTCGCATTCATCCTCCACGCGGCCATGGGATGTTGTTGCAAGCCCGATCGGACTTCCAAAGCTGAGCGAAGGGAGATGGCGGAGGCCAGTGGAAGCCAAAAGGGCGGCAAGTACTCGCTCCCCAATTTTGTGAAGAGGAGGAGAAGAGGCCAGGCGCACACTGCCAGCCCGGTGTCTTCGCAGGGATAAGAGAAGGAAGGACTCGAATAATCTGCAAAATTCATCAAATGCGATGCCATGGACACGGTCGAAGCAACGAGATCAGACAGGAACAGCTCCAGCCCTCCGCGACTGCACAACGGCGCTTGTCTATGTCACAGCACCCGACACGACGACGATCCATTCCGTCAAGCTGTGGCCGGTCACGCAAGGCCGTTGCGCATTAGCCAGTGTCTTCTGCGTTGTGGAGGTGAACGGCGTCTTGGAGTTGTTGATATCAGTCCTGTCAAGGAAATTCCAAGCTGTAGACCTAGAAGGTGTTTGACAGAGAATGAGTTTATTACTAAGATATCTTGGAATTGATTCAAGTACTATACGTACTTACCAGGAGCATATATCAAGTACTTGATAACATGGTACTCAATACTTGTCTTGTCAGCCTTGCTGATTTCCCCTCTCTTTCACATCACCAGGTCCGTCAGGACGCGGCCATTTCACACGGCTTCTATCCTATATGAGCGAGCAATAAGCGAGCAACTACGAAAAACTCGCGATGGATCACTTGGCGATTCCAGCATCTATCAAAAGCTGCCTTCACGCTGGTTGAGGGTAGGCTGCCACGACACTGACGGGTCAATTCCGCGCTTGGAGTGTGATCACTGATCCCTGCCTCATCACCAGCTGGCGCTTGGCAGCCAGCCCTACGGTGGGATATTAGATCAAGAACTACCACACCGTATCAACCCCGCAGACACAACGATAGCATATATCACAACCACCCATACATACCAATATCCGTGATTTTTAAGATACCGCTACGCACTAACCTTAATAATTATTAAGAAATAATTCTTAATGCACGGATGCGTAGGCTTCTTGCGAGTAAGATACTCGAATTTCTAAATAACACGATCGTTCGTGATAGTAGTAGGGCTATATTAGAAATTACGCTTAAGAGAGCTCTAGTAACCTAGGCCGTCCCGCGTTTAGTCCCCCGCTAGAACTTAACTACCTTTAAAGACTATATTTATGGCTAGTATTTCTTAAATATCCCTATTAATAAGATACTTTAAGATATTAATTCACGCCTTTAAGATACTAGCGATCCTTTAATTAATAAGCGGACCTTATTCCGGTAGCTTAAGGCATAGGGCTTAGATATAAGATACTAGGCCCTAGATATATCGGACGCCTTTATCGACTGGGTTAAATACTTATTCTTTAACTTTAGCTTCTTAGATATATCGATTCTTCGTGAGCTTTATTAAGAAGGCTTCTACGCTTATCTCTAAGCGGTAAAGAAAGTCCGCTAGTAGCATAGTATAAAACGACGGGTTAGGATAGTTAAAGAGTAAGACGAGAGGCTTAATAACGCTATCGCCTTCCTCGACTAAGACCTCTAATAAAGTAATATAATCTTAGGATTCGGTAAGGGCTTCCTTTATTAATATATTCGTTAGAAGGCTTAAGTTATAGTCTTATAGCGCTATCTATATAACTTTTATAGGGCTGCTTTCTTAGTAGAAGTTACTAGCCGGCGAGATAGTAGCTTTAAGTAAAGAGGGGACTTTCGCGTGCTAGGACCGAACTTTCTATAGTCTCTTAACGGCTATAAAAAGCTTAGGAAGGTCGGCTTCTAGGTCTATGGTTATATTAACG